AAAAAAAAAAAAAAAAAAGGCTGGAAGTGGAGCTGTAGGTTAAGTAGTACAGTACTAGGCTTGGGGAAAAAAAAGCTACAGGGCAGTATCCAGGCCGTGAGTTCAAGTCTGGAGTTCAGCACCAAAAAACTCAACACAACAAACAAATTCTACACCAACATTGCCACTACCACCAAAAAAACAAAAACACACACCAACCCCCCCTAAAAACAACAAAAAAGAAAATAAAACCCTAACATCAAAGCCAAAAATGTAATGCATTAAATGCTATTAATTTTTCTGAAATATTTCTAAAATTTACTACATTCACAGTTTGTTATTTCTGTGTTGTTATGATCTGATCTTTTTTGTTGACATTTTATTTAAGGACTTTTCACTCAGCATTTGCAATTGCTTTTGTTTAATTTCTGCACTCTGTGTGACTTGATTTTTATTTATTTAAATGATATTTTTATAGAATTTTATTTTCTGGCATTTTAATAAATATTTTCCATAGGTATTGCTTAATTTTTACCATGTTTAATAAGTGTTAAGATTGAATATTGTTTTGATATTCTGATTTTTTTAGCCTATATTAGATATACAAAGGGATTTCACTATAATATTTCCATCCATGCATATAATTTACTTTGCTGTATTCATCTTACTAAATATAATAAATTCTAAGTTTCCCAGTTATCTAATCTTCTATTACTTTCAGTTTTCAGTAATAAGATGTAGTAAGTAAAAGTTCTATTATATATGCAAACTTTCATCAAGACTCAATAAGTGGTCATTATAAACCTTCTATCACCAGCACTTTTTATTTTATTTGGGGCACATACTGTTAACATGTGTCTTTAATATGTATTAAATAACATATGGTCTCTATATAAAAACGTATGCCTTTATATTATTTAGTGCTTCATAATTTGTTAGCATATATATTTAATGTGGCTTGTGAAACATATGGTTATATCTTGTCAAATGATTTCACCCCTGAGAAATAGGTCTAAAAGCCCAGAGTAAATAGTTTCCTAAAATTTCCTAAAGACTTTTTGAGCTCAGTTGTAACAAAGCTCAAACAAAGTATTTAAAAAACAAAAATAAGATACTGGGCAGCTTATTTTATAGGCTCATACTGGTAATTCTAGCTATTCAGAAGGCTGCTATCTAAGGATTGGGGTTTGAAGCCAACCTGAGTAGGAAAGTCCATGAGATTCTTATCTCTAATTAACCACCAAAAAAGCTGTGACTTAAGTGGTAGAGTGCTAGCCGTGAGCAAAAATGCTCAGGGATAGCATCTAGGCCCTGAGTTCAAGACTCAGGTCACACACACACACACACACACACACACACACACACACACAAACAGAGAGAGAGAGAAACAAAAACAAAGTAAAATAAAAAATAAAAAACCCCACTCCCAACCAAAAAACAAAAACTGACAAAACATCAGAAGTAAGAAAGGGAAGGGACAGTTTAATAGTTTACAATGAACTGTCACATGGACTTATGAGAAAAAAAAAACTTTTCCCTGTGCCAGTGGCTATACCTATAGGACTAGCTACTCAGAAGACTGAGATCTGAGGATTGAGGTTTGAAGCCAGGCAAAACAGTCTAACTGAAGAGACTCTCATCTCCAATCAACCAGCAAAAACTTGAAAGTGGAGGTGTGGCTCAAGTGGAAAGTGTTGGCCTTGTGTAAAAAAACATAAGATCCTCAGTCCTAGCCCCAGTATCAAGAAAAAAAATTGTTTCTTTTTAATAACTAACAAGTATGTGCCCTTGAGTAGAGACTGAAAAGTCTCAAGTGGATTTTAAAAATTAATGCTAATCATATCTGCCATATTACAACCATTTACATTTTCTCTTAATTTTGTGAAATATATTATGCAGAAAATATTTTATTTCAGCTCAGAAATTATCCCAAACTTCCCTGTGATTGTGAAGCTAAGATGTGAAAAAGTTGAGATATTTAGGTGTTAAATCTGTACATATAACTTGTGGGATACAGGAATAATGATGAAAAGGTCACTGAGAAGCAATAAATGACGTAACTCCTTTCTTTTATAGACAATATGGTGTCCAAAGAAAGGGCTGAGCTTTGCAAAGCTATATTTGAAGGAGAGATAGTACACATATATACATGTATCTGGCCAAGTAAAGAAATCCACATCTAAATAACGTGATGAGCAATGAGTTAAATTAGGGAAAGGTGGATATTAAGAGATGAAATAGTAGAGCAAGAGAGCTTTCAAGAAAAAAGATGAGGTTACAAGACAGTAAATATAGGTCCCCCCAAGAGTTGCATTATAAAATTACTTTGTATTAATGAAGAAATATGCTCATAGAGTGACCTTGGTGCAGGAAATGCAAAATAGAGTGAGGGATTAGCTATTAAAGATATGAAGAGACTTTCTTTATTATAAATGAGGGAAGGATGAATTATATAACAGAAGTAATCTTGCTTTTGATGGTATGTAGTTTTATCAATGGTGGAAAACTCTGACGGATTCTATTTCCATTATGAAGTAGGAAATCTCAGAGCCATATTCAAGAAAGAAGGACTACAAGTATTCTCCTTGGATTTGGCCCAGAAGTTAATCAGTTCTTCAGCTAATTGCCTTCTAGGGATATTGGTTTTCCCCAAAGAGTTATTAGCCATGAACAAGTTATAACCTTTTCATAAGGTTGTAATTTTCATCCAACTTTTACCTTCTTTCATAATTCTCATTATCATTAATATAGGATTTTTCTGGCTTGGCTCATGTTAGAAATATGATTCTCAATATATGTTGTATTCCACTCAGTTGTATTTTTGTTCAGGAATTATTTAGACATGGGAACACAAAACTAGAAAATGAAGATATTAAAAAATGAACAAATTTAACTATCCCTGAAAGTAAGTAAAATTCATTCTGCTTAACCATAATTCAGTGTTCTTGTGTCTTGATGGGATGTATAAAAAATGAGGTGTTATAATTTCTTTCACAGTTGAGTTTGTTTTATCGCTGAAGTAATAGTGATGTTTGGTGAGATAGGTAAACTATTTGAGATTCAAGTTTTTCCTATCTGTGTATGAATGAGCCCTTTTTTTGTTATTTTCCATAGAATAAGTTGGCAACATATGAATAATTAATGTAATGTCGGCATATTTGAATTAGATATTTTTATAAGAACACCACAATTGAGGGTGAAGATGATTATGACACAGTTTAATATATACACAGCTGCATAGATAGATATATAGACAGATTTAATTATAAAGTAATACAAGTGTGAAACTCAGTGTGTCCCTAAACAAATCAATGGTTTTAATCTCTCCAATCTCAGAAAGATTGGTGGGGAGGATACCACAAGGGAGTTTACCATACAGCACCACTGCATACTTCTGAAATAAAGAACTCTAAGCTAGCTAACACTGAGGCACAAGATCAACACAAGCTAAACAGAATGACTAAGGTTTTAAGTGATCAGAAATTCTTTATGGGTATCAGCAGGACTGCACTAATCAACACCTCCCAGTTTAGCCAGTCCATGGTAGTCTGGGCAATGCCAGTAAGTTTTAGTTTATTCAGAGTTAAAGTTAGAACAGTCTGAATATAGAATCATCCAAGACTTATAAAGACCACCAATTATCATTATGAGACTGCTTTAACACTTCCAGTAAAAATTTTAAAGGGGAAGACAAAAACGAAGGAATCAATGGAAATAGAACCTAAAATCTGGAAATATGTCTTAGTAGAATGCTTGACTAGCATGCGTGAAGCCCTGGGTTCAATTCCTCAGTACCACATAAACAGAAAAAGCCAGAAGTGGTGCTGTGGTTCAAGTGATAGAACACTAGCCTTGAGCACAGAGAGGCTCAGGGATAGAGCCCAGGCCCTGAGTTCAAGTCCCAGGACCAAAAAAAAAAAATAACAACAACACAAAAAACAGGTCTTACTTTTTGTGTTCCTCATGCTGTCATTGGATCATAGTGACTATGCTTGGAGTTACTCATGGTGATGATCATTGTTCCTTCTAAATCTTTCCATAACCCCGAACAGAATGCCTTCAAAGAAGGCAAATTCAATTCTGTTGCAGACAAATGCATTCTTTGTTGTTAAAATTATAAACCCACACAGAGGTCTATCACCTGGGAGCTGGACTGTCAGAGACTATGAGGGGCAGTTGTAGGTGGAAGGACATAGAGGGCCTCTGGGCTGCCAACAACAATCGCTCTTTTGATTAGCAGGTGGTTATGCAGGTATTTGTGTCCATCATGCTACACTTTTATGGTTATGTCCTTTTGAATAGATGTTACCTTTTGTATTGTTAAAAAATGGTTCATCTCTCCACTTGCCCCTGAATTTTGCTATCAATCCAAATACATTCTAAAACCAAAGCTTCAAGCTTATAGTTGAAAAAATAAAGGCAAATAGAAAGTTTAAATAAAAAGAAAAGAATCAACTACATTTAATTGAGTAAGAAACAAATGTCTTGCAAAGGGAAACTCTCTGTTGACTCTTTGAACACAATGGTCTCTAAGTCATTTCAGCTAGGGTAGTAGTGTGAAATTTCAGGAGCAGCAGGGAGCAGAATGTACTTTGCTTGGTGTTGCCTGCTCAAACATTAGACCAAGTACTTTATTCTCGTAGGTTGATCTCCCAGCCCGGCCTTAAATTTTAAGAGATAATCTTGGGAATTCTGAAGTCATGGATCTTCTGTTTCCTCCAATGGATGGAATTACCACAAGACCAGTGTGTCTGGGAAATAACAAGATCAGAGGAATATCTTGGTCCAACTGTATTTTTTTCCAAAGTGAGAGAAGTCTGGTTATTTGCCAAACTCTCCCCCAAACTTGTCACATGTACAAGGTTGGAGAGAACAGGGCTGCATGGAAGCACAGTGCAGGTCACTAAGGAGCTAGGTAATAGTTAAAAACTTATGTATGATTTTATTTTCAGGCACAATCAGAGGCAGCTGGGAAGTCTGCTTGGCAGCCTCATGAGGAAGCTACTGTCCAGGAGACCTGCCACACAGCCAGTGTGTTCAACACCAAAGGCAGCTGCGATCAAGGACTTAAGAGCCTTAACCTGCTCATGTTCTTCCACAAATGAACATTTTTTTGTCTTAAGCTTCTCTATTCCTTATTCTCTTTATCTGATGTTTAGAGTCTCAAGGACTCCTTCATGTGTATATTCCAGGGTATTCTTTTCTTTATAATATCTCCTGTAAGGATGCCTGTGGGTGGGGTAAAATGGAGAGGAGTCTCTTTTCCCCATCTGTGACTAGGATTGGATTTTTTCCAACAGTTGAAATCAGAAGAGATATTGCTCTTGTTTATATTGAAAGATACTTATCTTTAGGCATAAGTCACTGCATTTCTTGGTATTATTGTAAATATGTACTTGGTTGTTTTTATTCATCACTCCTCCGACTGCTTTATAGTTGTAAATATTCTTGATTTCCATTTGGCTGAATGTTGAAAAATGAATCTGTGTCCCTAGTCAGGGATACACTGGGGCGAAAAAAAATAGTTTGGATAAATCATCTTCCATGATCAGCTCAGCTCTTGTGTTTTGTTTTTCTGCAATGGACTATGTCAAAGGTACCTGTCCCGTTCCTCCTTTCATAGGTGCAGAAGGAATGGGATGGACCAATACGAGTTCGCTGGAGGGTTTCATCCTGCTAGGCTTCTCAGAGCACCCTCAACTGGAGTCTGTGCTCTTCATATTTGTCCTTTTCTTCTACCTTCTAACCCTTGTGGGGAACTTCACCATCATGATCCTCTCTTATCTGGAGTCTTCTCTCCACACGCCCATGTACTTCTTTCTCAGCAACCTCTCCTTCCTGGACCTCTGTTTCACTACCAGCCTTGCTCCTCAAACTTTGGTTAATCTTCGAGGGCCAGAGAAGACCATCACGTATGGTGGTTGTGTGGTGCAGCTCTACGTTTCCCTAGCACTAGGCTCCACTGAATGCATCCTCTTGGCTGTCATGGCCTTGGATCGCTATGTGGCAGTCTGCAAGCCCCTCCATTATGTTGTCATCATGAATCCTCGGGTCTGCCAACAGCTGGCTTCCCTCTCCTGGCTCAGCGGATTGGCCAATTCTCTTATCCATGCTACTTTTACCTTGCAGTTGCCTCTCTGTGGTAACCGCAAGCTGGATCACTTCATTTGTGAAGTCCCAGCTCTCCTCAAGTTGGCTTGCGTGGACACTACTGTGAATGAGTTAGTGCTTTTCATTGTTAGTATCCTGTTCCTCATCATCCCACCCACCCTCATCCTCATCTCGTATGGCTTCATTACTCAGGCTGTGCTGAGGATCAAGTCAGTGGAGGCCAGGCACAAAGCCTTCAGTACCTGCTCCTCCCATCTCACAGTGGTGGTCATTTTCTATGGGACCATCATCTACATGTATCTGCAACCCAGCGACAGTTATGCCCAGGACCAAGGCAAGTTCATCTCTCTCTTCTACACCATGGTGACGCCCACCTTAAACCCCCTCATCTACACGTTAAGGAACAAAGATGTGAAAGAGGCACTGAAGAAACTTTTCTCAGGAAAATTGTGCACCTTACGGACGTGATATGCAAGGAAGTGATGATGAGGTTGGGGGTCTCAGCTTCTAGTTAGCCCAATTCAGTTCTAAATTTCCCTTCAATTATGTTACCACACATTTGCTTTGCCTTCCTTGTAGATTTCTCCCTCTTATGTGTAACTAAGTGAACTGTAAACATATTCATTTCAGGGAAGAATATGGGGCATGGAAAAGAGATGGACATGTGTGTAATTGTGATATTCATACAATGCCATGTTTTACATCTGATAGTTGCAAAGATGCAAAAATATTAAATTAATAAATGTTTTTCAGCTTTTTTCTGTTATATAACTTTTTTAAGTTTCAGAGAAATCCTTAGTTTTCTCTGAAAAGAGCAATGTGTATTTACTATATAATGCTACATTAGAAAACAAGGAAGTTGCATATCAGTGAAGCTCATTGTTCTGATATATTGGTAAGGAAAATACTATATTAAATATTTTTTTCATTAGTCATATCTTATTTTAAAAGACGTTTCAAATTGGGCAAGAAAGTGTATGCTTATAATCCCAGTCCTCAGAAAGCTGAGGCAGACAGGATTAAGAGTTTGAGGTCAGCCTGGGCTACATATCAGGTTCAGGGTCAGCCTGAACTACATAGCTAGACCCTAAGTAAAAATGTACAAAAAAATTCAAAATCAAGAAAGGTAAAAGAAACTTTGGAAAGTAGTATGGAGGTTCCTCAAAAGACTCCACACAGAGCTCCCCTATGACCCAGCAATCCCACTTTTGGGCATTTACCCAAATGTTTACAAACAAGACCACACTAAAGCTACTAGCACAACAATGTTTATTGCAGCATTATTTACCATAGCTAAGATATGGAACCAACCCAGATGCCCCTCAGTAGATGAATGGATCAAGAAAATGTGTTATATATACACAATGGAATTCTATGCCTCCATCAGAAAGAATGACATTCCCCCATTTGTTAGAAAATGGAAAGACTTGGAAAAAATTGTATTAAATGAAGTAAGCCAGGCCCAAAGAAACACAGGTCCCATAATTTCCTTTATTTGCAATATCTAGTATATGTATGAGTCAAGCAGAAAAGGTCAGATAAGGTGATGTTAGGAAAATGAACCCTAAGATATGTATTTTAAATGTTTTTTTCTTTCATGCATTTGTTTCTAACGCAATTATAAGATTCTTTGTTGCTTTGTATGTCCCTCCCTCACAGTATAACCCCTGCTTTCACTGTATTTGATGTCGGTATAATTTGTGGAGGGGAAGAGGAAAAACAAATCATTTAAATAAGGATACAGGTGGACCTGTTGCAACAATGAGAAGTGCAAGTTGTCATGTCAAAAACGAACTTTACAACTTGTTGGGGGGGAGGATTGAGTTGGGGGGGAGGGAGGATGGGAAGGGATGGGAAGGGGAAACAAAGGAGGAGGCTACAATGCTTGATAAGAAATGTACTCACTATCTTGCCCAGGTAATTGTAACCCCTCTGTACAGCATTTTCACAATAAAAAAAGAAATAACATGCAAGGAACATATTATTTTTCAACCCTTATCTCCCTTGTGGACAGAAGTCATTGTATAGTTATTGGGTAAAAAGAAATTCCACTGACTGTTCTGATGACAAGAGTAATAGATGGTTTTATACTGAAAAAGGTATTTATCTTTCTGTCTTTGTTTTTTGGTTGTGATAAAGTCTGTGAATATTCTACTAGGTAAGAAGATTAGTATGAAAATATGAAGAATGAAAATTGTGTCCCAGAATCTAATCTGTAGCTTATTTTACAGTGTAACTTTAACCATCTTTCCTTCCTTTCTTCCTCCCTCCCTGACTCCCTCCCTCTCTCCCTCTTCCTCTCCCTCTTTTCTTTCTCTCTCTTTCTTTGTCTCTCTCTTTGTCTCTCTTTTTGTCCCCCTCTTTCTCTTTCTCCTTTTTTTCTTTCTTCCTTCCTTTCTTTTTCTTTCTTTCTTTTTCTTTCTTTCTCTCTCCCTCCCTCCCTCCCTCGCTCTCTCCCTCCATCTCTCCCTCCTTCCCTTCCTTCCTTCCTTCCTTCCTTCCTTCCTTCCTTCCTTCCTTCCTTCCTTCCTTCCTTCCTTGTCGTGGGGCTTGAACTCTGGACCTGGGCACCGTCTCTTAGCTCTTCAGCTCAAGGCTAGCACTCTATCTCTTAAGCCACAGAACCAGGTCCATTTTTCTTGTGGTTTATTGGAGATAACAGTATCATGGCCTTTCCTGCCTGGGCTGACTTTGAACTGTGATCCTCAGATCTCAGCCACGTGAGTAGCTAGGATTACAGGCATGAGCCATTGGCACTCAGCTTGTATTTCATTTTTAGCACACATTCTTTATCTAAACCTTTGGTTATGAGGAAGATTGTGCTATTCAATTAGTTTCATATTCTCTTATGAATCATGAATCTTCCTTGCTATCCATTAGGATTAATTAACATTTTGCTTTATTTATTTCTCTCAAGGAAAGTATTTTGAACAGTAGGCATCTTATCCCCAGAGACTTCAGAATTATGAAAAATTTCCCTCACTAGACTTCAGCTATTACCCATGTTGTTTACACATAAAATCAGCAGAACCATGGCAAAATGAAAATCAGATGTGGTCCTCACCAATTTTATATTTCTTAGGTGGGGGAAGATAGAAATATTTGCAGTTGTAACCTAAGGCTGAGGAGACACTTGGCAATTGGGTCTGATGCACATCAGAGTCTGAGCTTCCTTCTCAGGTGAAAAACCTCCAGGAGTTTGGAATTATAAATAACCAATATTTCTTCATGACCCAATTCAACAGAAATCGGTCCACATGCAGTAAGTATGATGCCATTTCTATAATTCCGTGAACTAAAATTGAAAATAACTTTAATTTTCGAAATTTATTTTTTTCCAGCCCTTTTATTCCTTAGCATCTTAACAAAAGACTATTTCCCAAAGTTTGAAAAAAAACCTTTGAAAAATAGAGTTTTGTATCAATTACACAGCAGGTCCCAAAATCATATGAACACTGCCACCTTAGAAACACAGTGGGAAGGAGAGATGTAACTCACTGCCTTCAGATGCAAAGAATGACAAATATGTTCGCATATTTCAACAGCCTTCGTTACGTATCCTGATGAACCATAAGGTACCCGAGAGGCTGGAAGACCAATGACGATTTGAACACCTTTGACTTTTTGTGATCTTATTTTCAGATTTAAAAGTTACTACATTTTAAATTTCTTTACAACTTCACAAAGTAAAGCTAAGCTAACTTTATTCTCATTATTCTAGATGATCTATTGTGAACCGTATGAATTGTTTCTATGTCTACAGACCTAAAACTCAAACATTCAAGCATACAATGAAGTTGTGTAAAATATATATGACCACCGCTTTGCGAACAACCTAAATTCCACTTAGAGCAATGTCAACTCTTTAGTCTCCATGCTATTTCTCTAAAAAGAACACATAAAATAGACTGCCATTAAATGGAACAAGTCAATTATAAATTATTCAAGAAAGCTAAGATTAAATATTCTAAATTACAGGTTTATTTGTATTTACAAATACACTGGAAATTCTGCACAAACTAATTTTCACTAGACAGGTGCTTTAACCAGCTAAGCCATGGCACCTCAAGCTTATTTTCTATGTACACTACTTCATTTTTGATGGCATGGTTTGTTCTGACAAATCCCTTTTCAAGCTGAACACCAGGGAACAGTCTTCCAACCATAAGCAGCTCTGTTGAAAGCTATACAGCACCTCAATACCTGAGGACTGATAAATGCTGTTAGTATAATTGAAAACTGGAAAAAAGAAGCAGCCACCAAGATTAACTTAGCAGCAGTATTTATCTTTTTTTTTTTTGTCAGTGGTGGGGGTTGAACTCTGGGCCTGGGCGCTGTCCCTCAGCTCTTCAGCTCAAAGCGACCACTCTACCACTTGAGCCACAATTTCACTTCGGTTTTCCGGTGGTTTATTGCAGATAAGAGTCTCATGTTCTTTCCTGCCCGGGATGGCTTTGAACCGTGATCCTCAGATGTTAGCCTCCTAAGTAGCTAAGATTACAGACGTGAGCCACCAGCACCTGGCTTGAATGTTGGTTTTAAACTAGTAGAAGTATATAGCAAGGATTGGAATACTTACCTAGTGTGTAAGGTGTTGAAAGTATTCAATATCTAACATAAAAAACCAGTGGCAATCAACATTACATCTCTTGAAATGATCATATAAGTTGGTGGTATTGGAATAAGGTCTGCATAGGGCAAGGTAACACATAAGATACTGATAAGTATTTTATCAGCAAGTGGATCGAGAGCATTTCCCAAAGCTGATTGTTGGTTGGCCCAATCCATCAAACAAATCGGCCCAGCTAAAGCCAAAACTGCTAGGGCAACATTAAAATCTTCAAGTATCAAATAGCCCAAACCTGGGGCCAGGCCAATTCTTGACATTGACAACATATTTGGGATTGTCCATGGATTTTCACACAAGCTGGTGGTGCTCAGATGTTGAATGGGCAATGGTCCACTCGCAGCCACGCAGGCGCCAAGCTAGCATGTCCCTGTAGAGGCTCCATGGCCCATTAGCAGCATGGACCTCAGCAGACTGCATGTCCAACATGTTTCTCCATCCTGCAGGCCTGATGATCACAGAGAGGCATGGAGGCTGCGGCCTGTACGGATTCTCTAAATGTATTTATTTTTTAAAAATATCTTTAAATACTTGTTACAAAGTTGTTTCCAGTTTAACCTGTAAACATATGTATACTGGATCTTAGTGTTACTCATTTGATATTTCATTTTTAACCAATGAATTGTATTTTTGACTTCTATTTGGGCTCTGGGTGTATACATTGAATATGATGAAGGTACAAGGAAGAAAAAGAGTGTTGTTTGACACGCATCTTAAATTACGATTCAATTTTTCAGTGGCAAAAGTTTTGATGTATTTATGAGTGGCATGTTGGATAAAAGCAATGTTTGGTGTATACCTTAAAGTGTTTGCACTGGTTTAAGTTAATAACAGTCTTGCATGGATGAAAGAGTTGAAATTGTGATGTACTGTACCTACAAACTGAGTTATTGTAAAAAATTATGGACACTATAAAATTATTATAACAATTTCTCAATATATTTATGTCTTAGATACAATCTCTTTGCACAACTACTTGACAATAACTAAAAATTAAAAATTAAAAAATTTGTTGATCAGGCAGTTCCAATGACTTACCTCAATTCTTGCATGTTAGCCCTGACAGTAGAGTTCTTGATATCTATCCTGATGATTCATGTCATAATATAGTTCATTAATTTGTTTTGAGTAAAACAATTGTCCCTTGATGAGTTGCAATGAAAACAAATATGCAGAATGAAATTATTTTTCCTGTTCAAAGTAAATGTTTCATGTCCAGCTAGCAATAGGTTAATAGGCTATATAGGCAGTGTAAATAAGCAAAAACTTAGAAATACAAGATTTCCCCTTGAAGGACATTCAATTTACTCTTTGTTGGCTTTCTTTCTCAATTTCATTGTTGACCAGTTTAATAAGGGCAAGGAAATTAATGGTTGCCTAGAATGGAAATTGGCAGTGTAAAATATTACACACCAAGATATTTAAGGAATATTTTTATAGAATGTAAACATGCTGCTCTAACTAGTGGTGGTACACTGCTGAGACTGTACAATTACTCAAGTTCCTAGAATTGCATGGCATAAATTGATGGTATTTATGCTGTATAAGTTATTTCTCTACAAAATTGAAAAAGCAAAAACATATTTCTGAGTTTGATTACTGCATTATAGGAATTTAAGAACTAAACTCAGATCCAAGTTTATGGGATTAAATCAAAGCAAAGAAAGTATAAAAAAGAAAACAGACACTAGAAAAATTATCACAGCAATTTCTCTATCTAGATAATTTGGACATATACTAAATAATCGGTTAATTTCATGTCAGTGTTGAAGATGCAGTCTGAATTCCAAATCCATAACTATATTCTAATAATATAATAAATATTTTTATTAATGTCTTTATTAGTTGGATTCTAAAAGTGCTACTCCAAAAAAACCATTGGGTAATATATATTTCAATATCTAGCTCTCATCAGGTCTTTAAGTTTTCTGTGAGTGACAATACCAACAAAACCAATCTTACTCCCTGATGCAGTCAACTGTGTCCCTGTGCCTCTTTGTGTTCAAGGCTAGCACTCTACCACTTAAGCCACAGCTCCACTTCGGGATTTTTTCTTGTAGTTTATTGGTGATAAGAGTCTCATGGACTTTCCTGCCTGGGATGGATTTGAATCATGATGCTCAGATCTCAGCCTCCTGAGTAACTAGGATGATAGTCTTGAGCCGCTGGCACCTGACACTTGACTTTTTGGTAGTTAATTGAAGATAAGAGTCACACAGACTTTCCTGCTGGGGGTTGGCTTTGAACTGTGATCCTCAGATCTCAGCTCCCAGAATAGCTAATATTACAGGCATAAGCACTCTGTGCCTGGCTCATTCGTTCTTGTTAATCAGCCTCTTCTGATTACTAGGTTGACCACTAACTTGCATAAGTTTTACTTAAGAATTGTTCCTTATAAACCATTGAACCCAAGATCATGTCAATTTGTTACTACGTGAAATGTGTAATTGATGTTACAGCATTTTTATGTTTGTGACTCTGATCTCACTGAATAGTTGTGAAATAAAAATGTTAATAGATTTTTAATAATGCTTTTTCTTTGCAATAAAACTGAGAGGAACTATTGCAAATGACTTGCCATTCTACAATTTCACATAGAAACTAGCAATAAAATTCATAATAAATCTATATAGAAAATACATAGAAATAATACTGATATTTTATTCAAGTTAGAGGCATCTTGTTGATGTTATATATTTTTGCTGTATATTATTAACTCTTGTGTATGCAAGTATATCTTGTATACAAGTCCTATACGTATCACTTAGATTTGTTTGAGAAAGCTTCCACATTTATATATGTACACTCTTGATTTAATTGAAGTAAGGAGATCAGTTCTGGCTGGCACCATATTGGCCACATGGTGGATTGTAGGGTCTGGCATCTTGTCTTCATTCTGGGGAAAGGAAAAGCCCCTGCCTATCACCTGCCTTCCAGGTGATAAGCATGCCTGGATCCCTGGAGAAAGGGGTGGGCATTTGGCTGATAGGTTACTGAATTTGTCAGTCCAGTGCCTGGGACTGGGAATTTCCTGTAGATCTCCCACTTACTTCCAACCCTATTAGGCCTGGACCAGCCCAGCTACCAGGACACCATGCCATGATGCCATGTGTGTCTCTGTGATCTTATCCTGTGTCCTGTCTCCTGGCTCATCTCCAGTCATCATGGCATCCCAATTCAGCTCTCCATTGGAGCTGAATTGCCTTGTTGGTATTGTTTTTGTATTTCTTTCCCTTTTAGTATGTTTCCTAGCTCTGTTATGTGTATTTGCATGCTGCAGGCCTTTGTAACAACTGGTGGCCTGCAGCCTGTTAACTGTATAATAAAGACTCCAATACTCTACATTTTAAAATGTGGCTTCTGGGATGATTTACCGTACAATACATGATCAGGTAGATATGTGTAATTTACTCTCCTCTTTTCTTAGGTAGAAGTGAAATGGCTACAAATGACGGGAACAGAACTGAAGCAGTTGAATTCTTCCTCATGGGATTCTCAGACTCTTTGCAGGATCAGATCATACATGGCATTTTATTTTTGCTAGTTTATCTGGCAGCTCTTACAGGGAACCTGCTCATCATCGTGCTTACCACTCTGGATGTCCACCTACAAACGCCAATGTACTTCTTTTTAAGAAACTTGTCTTTCTTAGATTTTTGCTATATTTCTGTCACTGTTCCTAAATCAATTGTCAATTCCTTTACTCACAATACTTTCATCTCTTTCTTTGAATGTGCTCTGCAAGTATTCTTTTTCATGGACTTGGCTTCCACTGAGACGGCCATTCTTACAGTGATGTCCTATGACCGCTATGTGGCCATCTGCCGGCCTTTACACTATGAGGTCATCATGAACCAAGGTGCCTGTGTCAAGATGATGACCATATCATGGCTCAGTGGCGCGATCTCGGGGTTCTTACATGTGACATCTACTTTCTCCTTACCATTCTGTGGGTCCTATACAATTCATCATTTTTTCTGTGATATTCCACAGCTGCTAAGCCTCTTGGACTCCAAAGTGATAATCAGTGAGATTAGAGTCATGGTTTTTATAACCAGTCTTGTGATAATCTGCTTTGTTTCAATTACTGTCTCGTATGTGTACATTTTCTCCACCATCTTGAGGATTCCATCCAAGGTGGGTAGATCAAAAACATTTTCCACCTGCATTCCACACCTTGTGGTGGTGACACTCTTTCTAGTATCTGGTAGCATTGCCTATGTGAAGCCAATTTCAGATTCCCCTTCCTTTTCAGACCTTCTCCTGCCTGTGTTCTACACAGTTGTACCTCCCACCCTGAATCCCATCATCTACAGTCTGAGGAATAAAGACATGAAGGCAGCTCTCAGAAGGCAGCTTGCTAAAGGAAATTGGGTCAGGGACTCATATTCATGATGTTTTCTTTTAGCCAGGCAGTTGGAAAGCTTCCTGAGCGTAGATTTCCAACATACTGATGAGCCCTTTCCTCATTGTTAATTGGAAATTTTCTGTAGTCTAGAAATACTCTCTATGTTGGCATAAATCCAATCCTTTATTACAGTAGAAAATAATTTGGGTTGTGCAAAATATTAGACCTTATGAACAAATTTCATCTTTAGCTGTTAAGTACTTCAATATTTTATTAATTATACATTTCCTCTTTAAGCATTTTAGAGTAAAATTATACTTACATTAATTTTTATTTGATATATGTGTACTAATCCAGTAAAATAAGATTTATATATAAATAAAAATAAACCATTAAGTGAAGTAAGACAGGCCCAAAGAAATATAGGTCCCATGTTTTCCCTAGTCTGCAATAACTAGTATATGTTTGAGACAAGCAGAAAAGGTCAGATAAGTTCATGTTAGGTGAAATGAACCCCAAGATAAGTATCCAAATGTTTTTTTCTTTCTTGCAATTGTTTCTAACATATTTATAAGGTGATTTTTTTTGTTGCTTTGTATGTCCCTTCCCACGGTATAACCCCTGTTTTCACTTTATTTGATGTTGGTATAATTTGGGGAGGGAAAGGGAAAAAACAAATTGCTTAAATAGGGATACAGGTGGACTCACTGCAATAATGAAATGTACAAGATGCTATGTCAAAAAACGAACTTTCCAACTTTGGCAGGGGGAAGGGGGGATCAGTGTAGTCGTGGAGATGGGAGGGCAGGGATGGTAAGAGAAAAACAAAGGAGGAGACAAACAACAATGCTTGATAAGAAATGTACTCATTACCTTGCTCATGTAATTGTGACCCCTCTGTCCGGTATTTTCACAATAAAAAAGAAAAAGAAAAAGAAAAAAAAGAAAAAAATGTCCTGTGGGTTTGCACATTTGTGTCATAAATTTCAGAATCTCCCACCTCTTCAAACTAAGTCATATTGCACTGTACATGTATAGCACTTAATTTGCAACTCATTTATTAGTAGGCTCCATAGATTATTTCTGCATCTAAGCTATCATGCATAAAGTTGCAATGGACATGAAAATTCATAAATCTACTGATTTAAATTCCTTTGGGTACATACCCAGAATGTGATTCCCACTTTTAGTTTTTTGGCTTTATGACTTGTATACATGCTAACCATTTTCTCCATCTATTCCCAATGGCATTATCTTGTATCTTTTTGATGCTAGCCACTAGAATAGATATGAAGTAATATAATATCTAATTGTGCTTTCAGTTTGGACTTTGATGATGAGATTAGAGATGGAAGAAATTTGTTCATATAGATATATATATATATATTTAATTTTATTTTTAACTATAAGTAGTTGTATGAACAAGTTGCCATTCAACAAAGTAGAATATGAACATATACTTTCCTCTTCCATCCCTCCCAACCCTATCCTTTCCCTCAATTCTCTCTGTAGGAATGCATTGAATTTTATCAGTATATTTCCCCTTGTTCTCTTCATTCATCTACCCTCCCCCTCTTGGTCTCAGCCCACTACTTCTAGTACACAATTCCAGGTGTTTCTTTTTGAACTGTTAGTCTTCCTAAAAAAATATATTGCTTGAGGTATCCCTGAATCTACCGTATTTCCATTAATACACTTACTTACATTTGGATACTATACCACAGTGTGTATGTGTGTGTGTGTGTGTGTGTGTGTGTGTGTGTGTGTGTGTGTATGTGTGTGTGTGTGTGTGTGTGTGTGTGTGTATAATTCTAACTTCCACATATGAGAGAAAACATTTATCCTATGTCTCTCTGGGCTTGACTTATTTGACTTAACATGTTTTTTTTCAGGTGTTTCCAGTATTTTGTTTAACATGGTCTTTGTTTTTCTCTTTGTAATTCCTGTACATTTTAGGATAGTTTTCTGTGGAAAAATAGTAGTTGCACTGACCATGCTGCACATACCTTGAATCCCAGCACTTAGAATACCGAGGTAGGAGGATAATGCATATTGAGACCAGGCTACACCATGATCTCATATCTCAATAGAAACAACAAAAACACAAGAAAAACAGCCTTGGATTTTGAGAGAGAAAACAGGTCTAGTATAATTGAGTAGCATAAATATTTTAATCAATAAGAAGTGATCTTTTCTCTGAATAATTATGCTTTGTAGTCTGCCTAATGAGACGAGTATAGTTAATCCTTGTTTTCAGTTCCGTTTTACTCCTCCTTTCACTGTAAGCCTCTACTTGGCTTTGCCAGTGTATTTCTGGTAACTAGCAAATGGTTGAGCCTTGTTTTAAAACCCACTGTGGCATTCTGTATCTTTTCTTTGGAAAATTGAAATCATTAACATTTAGAGTTAGGTTAGGTATGCCTTGGGATGTTGATTTGGAATAGGAATAGGAGTAGGAATGAAGGCATCAATCGAAAGGAACTTGGAAAGGCAATGTTTGCTTCTGCAGATTGGTGTGCAAGCAGCCCAAAATCTGACAAGCACACAGAGCCGTGGCCTGTTCCCCTTTTATCTCTAATGCACTGGGCCCCGCTCCTCTGCTCAGATTGGCTGAGCTTACGTTCACAATCTGCAACAGCATGTTTTAACTAACAGGTACAGATTTCTTAAAGCATAACAGGAACGGTATTTGACTAAAGTACAACCCATGGGGGCCAACCATCTGGCCAACGCAGGAGCTTTTCATAAAAATAACACAAGTTGACAGAAAGAAAGCAATACTCCTTGATAAAAAGATGGCTTTTCTCACATAATAAGCCTTCATGTCTTCAATATTCAGAGTGATTACCATTGAAAAGTATGCAGTAATTAATACAATTTTGACTTTTAAAAATTTGTTGTGTTTTATTCTTTCCTAAAGTTCATTTGTTTATCTACTCATTTGGTGATAATCACTTTTGCATATTTTCACAGTGTTTGCCTCTTCTTCCCCACATAGAATCCTTCCGGTATATACTGCAGTGTTGTCTTAGGGGGTCACAAATTCCTTTTCTTTCTGTTTATCACAGAGGGTCTTATTTCTTTTTCAATTATGAAGGATAGCTTTTGTGTGTATTGTAGATGGGAATGTTTTTTGTTTCAGGCCTGGCTCCATTGCTCATTTTTAAAATTTGTATGTTTTATTATTGTAAAAATACTGTACGGAGGGGTTACAGTGACACCATTGCTCATTTTTATAACTATTTTGTGAATTGAGATTTCATTTCCTTCACTATTGTTCTTGTCCTGTACTGTATAGTTGTTGACTTTTGGAGTCTATTGCCTAGATTTTTCATATTTCTTGTGCTTGTCCATTAGTGAATCTGTGTTCAAATTTTGGGGGAAGTGTTCTTAGTGTTCAGGGCAGGTCCGTGTGGGGCAGAATTGGTGTGTAGTGTTTTATCATTGGACTAAGGGGTAGCTTAGTAGTTAAGCTTTCACCTATGTGCTTAGGCATGTAAGTGATCTTTAGCCCCGTTCAGAGACAGGAAAACCAACTGGAAAGCTTCTTGTAGCATCTAGTGTATGAGTTGGTGTTGGATGTTGGAGGTGGGGCCAGTACAGGTCAATGTCTGCTTCCATGCTTCTTTTTCCCTAGAAGTTTCCCATAGTCATTTATTGGAGTTCAGTGTGGGCCGCAAAGCAGTTTTGAAGTCTGTGGACAAGACAGGTTCCTACATGATGCATAGACCCCTATGTCTGTATCTTTAGTATCACAAGCATTCAAGCTTAGGGGTATCCCTTGAATGTACCAGATAGTAGGGGAGCAAATAGAGCATTGAGTCCTGATCTGGTGCTAGAGAACTGAGGGACTTAGGTAATTTGAGTGACCTGTCAAGCATTTCACTGCTCTGTGGGATGGAAGGGGATAGTGGAAATAACGTAATCCCCAAGTCCTGTACTTAACAGCTCTCATTCCCACATCTCAACAACCATCCGCAGCTCACCTCCAGCTCCTGGAGGCTGGGCATCTGCCAGCATCTGGTATCCTTAGCTTTTCTTGTAATCTTCAGGCAGTAAGGCCACAAACCACTGCATTTCAGTTTTGAACCTTCCTAGTGTATCTCAGGAGGAGCACATTAGTCTGCTTGTCCAAAGATACCTTCTGTGGCTATCTCCTGCCAGACACAATAGCCACCCTCAGCTGTGGTTGTTCTGTCAAGTCCTCCAGCTTAGTCCCAAACCCCAACTGGCAGTACCCTGCAGTCAGTGGGCTCCAGGAAATGGAGAACTCTGACAGCCAAGGGGTCACTGTTCTGTTTCCTTGGTGAACCTTAGACTATGGGACTTGTTCTTTGCCAGGGAGGATAGGGCAATTGGCTACCTCATGCTTCACTGCCCATGATTCCTGTTCCTTAAACTTCTCAGCAAGTCCATGTCAGACCCTCTTCTCCTCCAGGATAGCCTTGTGTGGTTGTGTTTTTTAAAAATTTTATTGTCAAAGTGATTAACTGGGGGGTTACAGTTACATAAGTAAGGTGACAGGGATACATTTCTGTTACCTCTTTCTGGACACTGTCACTAGGCATCTTACGACCTCTTGAGTCAAGTTTGTTATTTTTTTTTCAGATCTTTCAAGACCTAAGATTCAACATGGTGCCTTCGATACAACATTAGGAGCAAAATAAAGTATCTCGTAATGTGCTATTTTGTAAACAAGGAGAGTTACTTTCCACCAACAGTGAGCATAGATCTTGTAGGAAATCTAGAATTGCCTCAATGTTGGTCTAGAGCTGTACCCTGTTTTCTAATTTACCTTCTCACCTTTCTATTTCGTCATGATTTTTGGTTCTCCCATTCCTCAATCGCAATTTGGTGCATCTATATGAGGGAGCAGATTCAGATACTTATTATTTCTGACATTTGTTATTACAAGTATCTATACAGTGTGTGTGTGTGTGTGTGTGTGTGTGTGTGTGTGTGTGTGTGTGTGTGTGTGAATTACTGGGTCTTGAACTCAAGGGCCATGCTGCTGTCCTTAAGCTTCTTTGCTCAAGGCTGTCACTTT